CTGACCAGTCTAGTAACACGCTTGAGCATATTCTTCGCACCTTTGCGAAGGGAAACACTGCTACGCGATGAGGACTGTGATCACTGGTTCTGATACTGAGCAATCACTCGAATTTGTCGGGCGTTTTCCTTCACTGAGTGGTTGTGCCTTCTCTCTTCGTCCCGTCACCAAGTGTATTATAACATTTTCTTTCTAATCCCTGAATGACTGACTGAAATTCGCAGTTATGGAGATAGAGGGAAGTATTCGCAGCATTGCGTTTCGACCATTGTTATCAAGCATTTCAGAAACGGCCAAGGTGCGCAACGGATGTTTAAAGATATGAACAATAAACAATAAATTTATACCGATTAAAAAACAATGCTTTGTATGTCCCGTTAGGTGGTTGTGCAGGGTTATAGAAAAAAGATTTAAGCTGTGGATTGTTTAATTTTAAAAAAGAGATTCGTTTGCTTTCGCTATAGTTCTGCGATCCACGTAGTTTCGCAGGACGAACATGTAACATCAAATAAATCCAAAGCATATTGCAGGAGTGGGATAGAGATGTAGTACCAGGTAATAAAGTGTAGGTGATTAAGTGAGTCATCCGAACCTCTTTTAAATATGGATAGTGATGGATGAGCATTCCACATGTGACACACGCGGATGGAAAAGCAATTCCTGCGGCAATGCAGGCGGCTGTACTGTTGTGGAAGTTTCAGTGAGTGATCTCTCAAGTTGGTATTACTGCTGGTTTGCAGTAAAGAGCGGCACACACAATGCAGTATTAAGTACACCAATATTCAATCACCTCGTAAACGGCGGTAAGGTCCGCTGAATAACCCCAATCGTAACAGCGTTTACTCATATGAAGGATGATGCATTCCAATATCGTACTTTGATACTCGAGGTTGGGGCTGCTCCAATGTACATCAACATCTCCTGCGTCAGCTGATTGGTCCAACTACTCCGTGCTATTAGCAACTTCGTGGTGCAAGGTCGATTTCGACGGAAACCGTGCTGCTCAAAAATAATAATGTTAGTTTTCCAAATATCCACCAGCGCATCGGCTATGAAGGATTCCATCACCTTTGACAGTATAGAGAGAAGCGAAACTGTGCGGTATTTTGAAGCCTTAGTTCTACTTTCACTTTTGTGAATAAGTTATTATTCTAGGCTTCCACCTAACAGGAACTTGGTTCTGGTCTAAGCCCCGTTGGAAGAACCGAGTCAATGGCTCTACCAGTTGACTTGCTGCTGCTCCAATTATCTCTGGGCGTGTGTTTGCGTAGAGTTGTCAGCTTTTGCGAGACAGCTTTGGTGGTAAAGAAGATGTGAGTGAGTCCCTGCGGCGGGGCGATATAAGTCGAAGGATCTCCTGATAGTAATACTTCCTGGAAGGAATACTGCATCCGCAGCGCGTTTGCTGCTTCCGTAGCCGTTCGTGTTGAATCATCAGCCGTTATGAGTGCCGGAACTCCTTGCCTCACCTTCCGTAGAACGTTGACGTGCTTATACAGCAATTTGTGATTGACGCTGAAGGTTTTTGTCATATTCTGCTGATGCGCGGCGTTGTCCTCTCTGAGCAGTTGAGTGCAGTGTTTTCGTTGGGCTACGTAGGTATTCCAGCATTCTGGTGTTGGGAGTAATCTATACTCTCGCTACGCTGCTTTGCGTACTGCCAGCAATTTTCGAGTTCTGCTCCTTACGTAAGTAACTGTCTCAAACCGTTTGCAAACTTTTGTCTGAAGCATCCGTAACCAGGCGATTGAATTTGGTTACGAATTCGAGCCAGACGATATCCGTGGGGTCTTCGGCGAGGAACGACCAGGTTGTGGCACTTACGAGATGGGCTAAACGATCATACCGTGTGATGGTTCGAGTCCTCTCATTGTCCGCATTTCGGTATTCTGCATAGCAGATGAAGTTAAAACGAATAAGTTCATGATCACTGCGACCTAACGGGCAGCCTACAACCAACGCATCTATCACATGTTCTTCCTTGACAAACACAAACACAGATGGCCTATTACCTATACTGAACCGAGTGGGCGAGGTAACATGATTATAAAGCGGAACACAGATTACAAGCTCCTGTAGATCGGCTTTAAATTGTTCTCCGCTCGTAGCAGGGTTTCTAAACAATGTACCTTGAAATCACCCACGGTCAATACGTGAGTGTATCTTTCTTTTAGAATTCGCCGTAGGACAGTCGCAATGTAGTAGTCCGTTTCAGATGTAGTTAGGGGGACGGTACACCAAGGCTACAAGGCAAGTGGCTCTGCCCCTTAACGGCAGGCGGCACCAAAGCGAATCAGGAATCAGTGAATATGAATCCTCCATGACCTCGCACACTAAGTCGCCATGATAATAAAGAATTACGCCTCCTCTATTTGTCAGTCTGTCGTTCCGAATGAGTGACATGCCATGTAGTGAAATTCCAGCGTCCGTCACTTCAGTGTGTAACTACATCACTGTGATTCCGATGATATCATATTTCTGGAAAACTTGGCGATATTTCAGTTCGGCCAACTTAATGAAGAGGCCCTGAGCATTCGTGTACAAGCAAGCTAGTTAATCTGTCTCTAGTAGACCACAGGGGTCAAGTAAATAATGTGTTTGGGAGTGCCGACTGATGTGAGGTCGGCCGTTATTCGATTTTTTAATGAGCTACTGTTACTACTTCCGTACCTTGCTCTGGCCAAGACGCGTCCCAACCCTTATCTAGAATTACGTTAGCATCGGGTAAAAGAGCATCTATTGCCTGTACGTCTGCTTTTTTATGTAATTTCGTAAATGGACGTTGCGAAGCGTCTACAGTCCCTAACCGAAGTTCGGATGGCAAGCTTTTTCGATTTTTGAGCCAACTATGTAACACATCCATCGCTTATTGCTCCAATTGAGCCACAAGTTTTAGGCTTCTCGGGCCGCGTTTTCTGTTTGTTGGTGATAGAGGTAACTTTTTGAGCAATCGTGCTACAACACATTACCCAAGGAAAGGGTTCCGAGGATGAATCGTCATTGTACTAAATTAGGAGTTTCGGCCCCTTGACAATCGTGAGAAGGAAGCTCGGGCACACCATGGATAAAGATAGTGTTTAGGCGATGAGGCTTTTTATATCTTTGATCGATTTTATCCTACTGTCTCATGTTCCACAGAACATGAGGATAGATGCTTATCCCACACGATCTATGTTACAGCGCGTTTACGGAGAGCAGAACGATCCTAGTGTTACTCTAATATGTCTGTGCTCGCCAAAGTTGCAGAGTACGCAAAAATGTGTGAGATGGGTATTTCGTTGCAACTCATGCATGCAATGGAGAGCTTATGTCCAATGCCAACATCGGACTACCAAAACTGTCGTTCGTCATTCGGTATTAGTCAACGGAGCCTCCAACGCAACCGTAGGATACTTGTAGTACTCGATTCATCCGACTTTACCAGGTCGTTTGTACCGCGAACCTTGATTCCGACCAGCTTGTTGGACATTCTTTACCACTACTGCGTCTAACTGGATGGAGCTCTGAGGCGCAGTCAGGGAAATTCAAGAAGAAAAAGAAACACCAAAACGTCAGGCTGGACTACCATTTTCGTCATTTTTGGATGTGGTCCTCCCGATCAGGCAGGTTGTCAACCAGAAACCTTGTCCTTTAGGGGGCGCTGATTGGGTCGGTGGCGCTAGTTTATACGTCCCACTACTTCAAACTTTACTATTTCAACAGCGGATCTCTAATGTTTCCACACTTTCTAACTGCTTTCTTTCCTTCTATTGGCGACTCATTGAAACGTAAGTGAACTTCTCGCAAAGCTGATCCAATGAAGGAGAATTTATGTGGCCCATCAAGATGTGTTCGCTGTTTACGTCGCTTTCCACTGCATGATAAAAGCATTTCGCCTAACATGCAGGGAATTCTGGTCGACTCAGGAAATATTCGAACAGCAAACCATGTAACCTTTTATTAGCCCTTTTCTGCATCAGTCTAGAAACTTTTCTTAGTGTAAATCATTATGACATTGTGACGACCTTGCCCAGGATGGTCTGATGGGATTGTTCATGAAGATACTGTTTTTACAACATATTAGCCACATACATTTGTTGGCTCTTGATAATCTCTTGTCCGCCTTTGTTTCTGAGAATGGATTGCTAACCGAAAGGGAGTCACTGGTGTTCCAGCACTCATGTACATACACTCTTGTCTTCGCAATGACACAATTTTAAGTAGGTTAGCCAGTCGTTTTTCGGCCGGAATGACTTCACATAACATAATGTACAGCAGACACACCTCCATCAACCCACTTATACTAGGTGATAACCGAGAATACGCAAATAGTTCCCAAATGCTTGAAAGTTGAGAAACTGAAGTGATCCTCCTCTAGTCTGAGAAGCAAACCGGAGCCAACTGAAGCTGAATCACGTCCTTGTGTGCCCGTTTGCAGCGCAAAGGATAAAAGAAGATAAATTCGTGACGCACAGGCGTCGAGAAAACCTTGCTGTTTTTCAATGCTTTAAATTGTTGCAGGCAACTAACTGTTTTAACTACATCAGAAGTGTCATGTCTTCCAGTTAATGTTCTTACGTTTTCGCTGAAATTGATATCCTTCTGATTTACTCGTTTTGGAAGTTCAAATCGTTTCTGAAAATTTCTACGGAATTGATGTCATGTGCGCATATTAATACTCTGAAAAACCACCTTGAAATAGGACTACCCTTGGCTGTGTAAGAAGTTCCTTTTATCATGAATGTAATTTTTTCCATCTAATTACAATGGGGAAGCGATAGCATTATCTTATTATTCCATCTATTTTTCTGTTTTACTAAAGCGAACCATTTTATATTCACAAAGGGTCTACCAGTATACTTTCCAATAATGAACTTTAATTGGCTAAAACATACATGGTTGACCACTCGACCAACTGTCCTATCACCTTGTCTAGCTACAGTTGCACTGCAGAGCAGCCTTCTTTTTGTCCGCTAATCCTTAGCGTTCCGTGAGCACTTTTTCTTTTATCTTGCTGACAGCAATCTTCGTGATGAACTGGTCGAGAAGCAAAAGGTTCGTATTCGCAATGCCGAGGCAAGTGGTGATGGACATTGCTACAGCTGCGGACGCCTCTTCATGGCTGTCTTCAATGCGCCCATGGAGTGTTGCATTTGCAAGCACGAATTTTGTCGCATGTGCCTTGAGAAAATGGCCAATTCGAAACAATTAATATGCAAATTTTGCCGATTTGAGAGGTAAGTTTACGTTATCCAATGTCCGCACACTGGATCGAAGTCTGGAGACACTATGTCCATCATGTGCTAGGTGTGGAATGAAATTGTCCCGTTTATGATCCTTGGGACAAAAAGTAACCAATAGAGTTAAGAGAAGCTTTCTTGTTAGTGCTGGATTTTGCAGTTAAACGTTGATAGCACGCTCATGTTATGCCAGTATTCCCAAACAATATGAGTAACATTGATCTATATAGTAGCTCATAGTTATCAGCATGTTACCAACTGATTATATACAATAGGCTAGCTTGCAAGACACATGGGTCATCATGCCGCACCAACTGACGATTAGGACTCACGAAATGTAGATTGAGCCACGCGCTTGATGGTCGAGAACCGTTTCAAGCCTTTCTTTACACTATACGTAATCATATGGACGGAAAGCAGGAACATCGGGATCGGATCGCATTTTTATTTAAGGAGTAATCTTTCTCGAAGAGCACGGCGCTGGTGCCTGCTGTCCATCCATTCATCTTTTATAGCCGCAGCGCTATACGTGATGTCTGTAGGATAGATTCCGCCCTACGTGGTTTTTGGCATGGTTTCTTAACAGTCATTCGAATTTGAACTCAGGAAGCTCGATTCAAAACGGTACATGGATTGCATTTTTGGGGATACTCCTTTAAAGAGTAATGCAGTAATTACCTTGGCTCCTTTATTACGTGGTTCTCATCTGCTCGATTATTACAAATGCTTTTTTCTGTTACAACTTAATGCAGTTTGGAAGACCTTTACACCCGGATGCATTACTTAAGTTCATCTAGTAGCTGAGTACTATGCGTTAGGAAAGGCACAAAATGTCCCCGAATGGAAATGCATTGCTTTTGTATATTTGTAGGGACACACGCCAATCGCCTAAAACAGACTGGCATCTGAATCAGAGTCGGTTAAGCAACAATTCATTGTGTTCACCGTGCGATGAGCCTGATTCCTCGCTAGAGTACAAAGCGCATAAACTGGCTTCTTATTGATCACTTGCAATCGATTGGAAGCAACAGTTTGCTGAAGTGAATTGATCTCAGGCGCTGTTTTGCTTAAGAAGTATGGACATATAGCGAATGAAATGTAATAGCAATAAGTCATCACAGGTTGTAGTCATTGTATGCTTTGAGCTGTGCTGTCGACGGTACAAAGTCAATGTCGCAAACTATACCCTAAGAACGTACAATGCTGGTCACGTGCTCCCTGTTCAAACATATAGCTCAACTGAGAATTGGCACGAGATTAAGATCATTTTACGGTGTTAAGGACTTTGCTGAATATGATGCTTCACAGTTACTCCGGACTTATTTATAAAATGTTTAGTCTTGGACTTTCCGATGGTTTTTCCCGGTACACAACATGACGCTTTTACAGGTACTTCTTGTAGCAAAGTGGGGCACATGATTGACATAGACATCCGTATCGTGTGAAGGCAATACTGAACATGTTACAATGCAAAGGCAGTATTGATGTCATATGATATGTCGGGTTCACGACAGTCTAGTACTGTAAATAAGTTAATTTTCACTCAAACTTGATGGTTCTGATAATATCTGTACCACTATTAGGCTGACCCGAAATCCATTGAAACAGTTATCACCTTTTGCAAGCAACCTTGACTTTAAATATGCGGCAATAATTAATCAGGTTACATCTATTGATCTCGACCGCGTACTGCTAACGCTCATGCAAGTTGTCGATGCATCTCCGATGGACCAGCTGGGCTGGCTGCCAATACACTTGGACAGGTACGTTCCGATATGGTCGATGTCATCGAATTACTTGTCATTGATGTGATTGTGCAGCTATCCGAAAAGCTGACGTTCAGTAGGACAAGGACCGGACTATATGGTGGGTACATCATATCTTCGATGTCGAGCCGCTGAGTCATGAAACGCGTCGCTTTTGTTATATGAAGACATGTGTCGTCATGCAGGTGAAGGAGTCGAACTGCACTTGGAGGATTTTATCGACGTTTGTCGATCATCAACAGTAGCCGTGGAAATGTCAGATAGCAGCTGCCACCAGATAACTTTACGGGAATCCCACGAGTCGACAGCATCAATGCTTTACAGTGCAATTCACGTTTCGGGGCTTGTACTGCCGATTCATCTGCTGCGATCCATTGGCGCTTCCTGCTATGTTTGACACGGAGCACCCATTTCTCCTCCCCAGCAGCGACATTCTTCAACCACCGGTGATTGTGTCCTCTAGTAAGCAATGAATGTGCTCATCGGTCGATTTGTGTAGTTTAAGTTGTCCGAGCTTTGGGACCATTCCGAATTGGTACAGATAGCGATGAAAAGTGGTCTTTGGAAGGTGAGGATGTGACGAAACTTTATGCACGCTTTATCTCGGATCCTCCTTTAGTGCGTCCTGGTCGTTGCTGACTACGTCCGCTAGTTTGCGTCGTTGACCCCCAATGTTTGGCAATTCGTTGTTCCCTACTTTGAATCGATGGAGCAGCCGTGTCTAGTACGTCACGTAGGTTTCGACAAGACTCTACCGCTTTGCGTCCTTGTAGGGACTCGTACAACAAGCATTTGCGAACAGTATTTTGAGCATTTGCCAATGCATGTCACCATTTTAAAACGTAGGGTGCTTGAGCAAAGTAGCGCTATTATGCCAGTGTCTCCAATATTTTATCCATATTAAAGAACCTTCGAGAACTTTCCAAAAAATTATGTAATTGTAGGGAAGAACATTTCAGTTACTTTTGGGGCAACTTAGCAAATATGAGTACTGATGAATAGTTGCCATCTATCCTATTGATGCGGTTTCAGACTTTATGAGTTTATTATACCTACTGGTAGAGTTGAGCAAAAGTTGACTAGCCGGGTGGACAAGGCACTGACAGTCCAATCGACAGATGATTTACTGTTCGTCGCCACCCACAGCTAAGCACTCCATTTGACCTACAAGAATGACGCACTGAGATTGCGCATAAATCGCTTGTCATTATTCCAAATTATGAGCCAGCGTGACATGTCGAGGCTATCCTGTCTTCTGCAAGTAAGTTGTAATTGAGCGGCGCCAACTAACCTCTAGTAACTTAGTGACGACAGTGGTTACCATCCTCCGTAGCTCATTGGACTTACCACAGACTGACAACTGTCGAGTTTCGGATTCGAGCCCTACAGAGGTCGGCTAGAATGTCCACTAATGACGATTCCAGAAAGAATGAAACGGCTATGCATTGCTTCTTCAGGTGTGTGAAGGTTGTCGGACCACGCAACTCCCCTATCGCTAGTTTGTAACAAAATAACACTGCTTATGGTTCCCTAGCGCATTTTCGAATTCGGAGCCATCCATGTATCCGGAAAGGCATTTGTGTACTCACAATGGAAAACCCTGACTTGTTTTATGGAGCATAGCGACGATACAGCTAAATGAAACAAATGCGGTCAGTTCTGGGACGGGCCAAATATGAGATCCTCGTTACACAGCGTACCGAGTAGGACACCAGACTGAGTCCCGATTTCAGCGCCAACTACCGTACCGTCCACTGCGCCCATACTGCAATTTCTCGATTACTTTTTAAAACTAGTAATGATTTGTAACGGCCAAAATCGGGTGCTCAACATGTCTCGTAGGATGCTTAGAGTGAGGATTAAAAAACCTGAGGTTAACACGTCAGGAACATGGGGGAGATTCGGGTTTTTGGGTGACTAAGCCATTCACATTAACAAATGCGGGTTGCCTCACGACTGCGTTACGGCGAAAGCTAGTAAGCACAATGTTTGCTTTGTGTTATTTGTCTTTTCCGATTGTAACAGACTCTTTCAACTAATGCAAAAGGGAAGAAGTGCTATACCCAACTTCAGTTTCCAATGGCTTACCTGGTGTTCAACTTCAAGTTTTTGTTTCGAAAGTTACAGTTTAAGCTTACTCGCAGCTAATAAAATAACGATGATGGTGTTGCCGGAGAATAAAGCTTCTGGATGTCATTCCTATCCAGAAGTTTCCTAAACTATCAAGCGTAGCGCCTTCTTGGCTTGAGGCATGAGTCATTTGACCGTCGAGTTGAAGTTGCTTCCAGCTGCTATCTTGCATACTAGCGTTCCTCCGCACCATTGCTGATGATTTGGGCAATACGCCAGGGGAAAATCGCCCATTTTTCCCTGGTGTATTGCCCAAATCTTCACCAGTGGTGCGGAGGAACGCTAGTATGCAAGATAGCAGCTAGAAGCAAGTTCACATCGACGGTCAAATGACTCGTGCCTCAAGCCAAGAAGGAAATCTCCCAGTGATATTGGTAGCTAATAGACCTCTGGCCATTGGAGTACTAGAGATGGCATTGCGCGAGTGTGCAAATTGGTTAGCCTCTTAACCAACGCAACAGCGTAGTTTACAGAGGCTGCACCTAAGATTTGGTACATTTTAATTGTGAATAGTCAACCTAATTCCTACCGTGTGGCAAGTGGTTGCCAAACTTCACTGTGAAACGCATCCTCTAGTTCTGTAACAAAAATTGGCTCCTATTTGAATACTCTACTGAGCTTTGTCATTATGGGTCCGCTACTTTTGTTATTAACCCTTTCGATTGATTGACTCTTTCTAAATCGGAACAACCTCACTTCTCCGTAACTGCTACAGTCTAACTTCCTTGTAATAATATTTTCAGATAAGCGTGCTTCAAACTGTCTCACCGGATCATCGCCTACATAACTTACTGTAGTTACACGGTTTACTGTCTAAGTGAAGTGCATCATATATAAGATGAAATTTGCTGGATTACCTTCAACCACCATTGATTGTCAGCGAACGAAAATCGGAAATCGATACTATGATCCTTGATGAATACCGTCTTAGCGATGCGCGTTATAGACCGAATCGGTTTACTAATAGTACAGAATTGCTTGATGAACACCTCAGTTCAGTAAGGTCATTTGTGTGTCAGTTTTGCTTTGATACCCAGATTGAGGCCTCTATAACCGATCGCAAATTATGGCCGGTTGATAGCATCTGTTCTCTCTGACGGTAGTTAATAATCATTGTCCTGAATCTTGGTCTACGCACCAAACGACAGCTGGAACTCTTGCACTCTGGACGCCGGACGTTTAATCGGTGGCTTACCGCTGGTCCTCCGTTGCCGCGGCGGTAACAGCCTAACCATGTCGTTTATACTAGGTTTGCACATATGTCCCGTTCTACATCCAAAAGTGCGGTCGGTGAACCTCCGTCTTTTTGCTCTTCTCGGCAGAACCCAATACACACCTTTTCAGTTTAATAATGCGCATATGTCTCTTAAGTGCGAGAAATAATTCCTGAAATAGGAACCCGCCATTCTTTACAGAAGTGATCATGCTTTTTCATGAGTGTGTACTGCTGTTGCTTTTAGGCTTCCAAAGGTTTTTGTCAATCCTAGTGTATTCCATCAGGTGATTTGTTGGATGAAACCACGGAAATACCATTTTCACATCGAGGAAAGTATGAAGTTCGGTGTGGAATGATTGTGGTTGGCAAGCCGCTTCATAAGAAAGCGTGTCCAGTGGGGAAGAGGTTTGAGAGCATGCTTGTCCGAACTCTTCGTACAAATAACGCATAGATTTTTGCTTTTTTCGGCTTTCTTGTTAATCATCGCATACTACCATAAATGAAGTTGCAGTATTCCAGGATGGAACGAGGGAGCCTTCTGAACAACATAAGTTTGGCAGGTACTGCATGGATTTTGTGACACACGTTAGCCACGGATCGTCTGACATGGGTTGTTTCGTACTGGGCTTCTTCATAAATCCAGTAATTGGAAGAATATCGGGTTCCAAGATAACGGGTAGACTGTCTTATGCGCGTACTTCTATTGTTAAGTTTACTGACCTTTCGGGAATCTAGCCATCTTAGCACATAATGCATTAAGTTGTCAGACGAGAATTTCATCAACCACGTGTTGCATCATCCCAGAAAGGAAAAAACATCTTAACTTGGCAGCAGTGTGTGCTGAAAATCATCATGCCAAAGCTTACAGAACAAACTGGTTTCGTCGGCTAATAGAAATAGCTGGTCATTTTTGATAGATATGTCAATATCGTTGAAATGACAGAGAAATAACAAAGGGCTAAATACGTTTCCCTCAATGACACCGCCGGTGACTTGGCGTTGGGGACGTGTCGGCCACCCAATGTGGCTATTTGTAAACGGTTGGTAAGGTAGGAGGAAAGCCAAGCTACAAACGGGTTCCGGATCTTAAATGATTCATTCTTTTCAACAACCGTTTGTGTGGTACACGATCATGCTCGTTTCTTCGTTTAAACAATAAAATTATGACTGCAAAACCGGAGTCTATGGGTTTCGAGGTAAAGTTAAAACAATGGGGATGCCAGGTCGCTCAGCAACATCCACCAGGAAGACCATGTTGCGATGTCCGGACATTGGCCGAAGCCGCAAAACGACTAATGGCACTAACAACATTATCTCAGTATGAATGTGCGAAGTGTAAATTAGTTAACTGGGATTGTTAAGTTATGAATAAGGGAACAAATGTCAATGCGACACTGGTTCAGTGGTTGCGTTTGCCCTAATCCCTGATATGACTGACCTCGACGTCGCCACCCAGGAAGGCGATTCTTAATGTCCCTTTGCCACGTCGTAGACCGAACCCTTCGCTCTTCTACCCAACAAAGAGTCTATTGGCTCGCGACACATGACTGTGCCATCTGAGATGTTTCCGGTTCAACACGCGTCCCAACGTGGCATCGGGGGTTTTTGTCCAACGCGTAATGCGTAACTCCTGTCATCTGTCATAAGCACAGGTGTCGTTGCTCAACTACTCCTAGACTATTGATTTTCCTAACAGATATCGCAGATATCCTTGATTCATGCAGCAACGCCGACAAAACGGCAACACTGTAAACATCGAACCAAAGAAATTCTATTCCACCTTTTCCAGAATTGACTGACAATGATGGGCTATAGTGGTCTTAACAACGGATATGGTAATCTCTTCGGTCATGCTACCGCTAGCGGCGATACAAGTGCCTTCATTTTTGCTTCACCTACATGTCTTTGTTCACGAAGTGCAACCATGAGTCGCCTTTCTCTCTGACACGCGCAGATCAGCCCAGTGGACCCATTTGCCACGCCTCACTTTACGTTTCCGACAAAAATTGACGGTGTGCTAAGATGACGTAAAAAGGCCCTTTATCAACCAAGTTGGTTCTGAAAGCCGATGGGAAATAATGAAAGTTCTAGCGCCATCTAATGAAACTATCGAAACCTGGAAAATGGACCCACTGCGATACTGTACACAGACGTGTCAAATTAACTAATTCAGACACGGTCCTCAGACGCTGACGTGATTGATTCCATGGCTGCCATCACGGGACAAATCACTAAGCAGTGTGACAATCTCTTTTGATTGGTTTCTGCTAACGGTATCCTCTTTATCAACTAGTGGCCCATGGGAGCCACCTAAAGTGGCTTCGCACTGAGCGACAGCAGGTCAGTCGGCAGGTGTGACAGAAGGTATAAAAGCGGGCGCAGAGTACACCAATCTAAATAGCATTGACGTTGGAGAATCTCTCGCGAAGCACTGACCGGCAAGCATAAGGAGCATCCACTGGGTATTCCTAACGGGTATGGGCTTTCGTTCAACAGCATCTTCGGCAAAACACGTCCATCTCTCCAACGCATAGTGAACATGTAGTTCATCCATGCTCGGGTACCAAATACACTCGACCGTTGTAAAACATGTCTTGTCCAAACAGTTGTTACCTTTAAGTACCAATCAGTGGTTTAGTCTTAAGGTTACCACGCAGGCTTCTCTTATGTACGCGAGGAACTCCTCAATAACTGCGCAGCCGAATGTTGTATGCCCAGGCAAATGGAGCAACTCTGGCTACTCCGCAACTACCGGGAGAACTAGAGGCGTGATAGCGTGGTCATGCATCACCACCAGCCTAAGAGACGCTCTGCGTTACCCTTTTCGTCAGTGCTTGTGACGTGTCTCAGCACCGAATGGTTATTTAGTCTGTGGACGAGGTATTCGCTGCTGATCGTCAGCCAGCAATTCCTATATCAAAGTTAGCTAATAAAGTGTCATTTCTGATAATACAGGTGCCGCTAGCCAGCTGCAGTTTTCTGACGGATAACAACAAATATGTGGCTGCTGCAACTGTTACGACCCCAGTGATCAAGCCGACCAAGGTTCACCTGGAGGCGAATCGCGGTCTACATTGAGATTGCACGTCTCATTCCATTCACCCAACGAGAACTTCAAAATGACCCTAAAATGAGTCATTAATCATTGTGACAAGCGTTGCCTGTCGGGTTTCGGTTGCTAAAGCGCTAGAGGTCACGGCTAAGATCTTAATGGCCCCGGTCTCAGGTGCCTGCTATTTCTACCTGATTAGATCAAATAAGTTCGAAGCCGGTCGTGAAGTACAGTGTCTTGGGGTAAGCAGCACGATTCCAATGATCGAGCTGACCAAGGTTCACTTCAATGCGAATTGCGGTCCACATTGAGATTGCATGTGGCAATCCATTCATAGAAAGAGTACTTCAAAAGAACCCTCCAATCGCTTGTGATTATGTTATTCAAAGGTCCTAAGACGAGTCTGCTTAGCAAAACTCATCTTACTTGCCATGACAAGCAAGACGGCTGATTTCTTTCCGCCATCGTACAGTCCAGCGGGTCACTGTTCCAACGTTTATTTGAGGTGCATCTTATGGCAAAAGACTAATTACAGCGTTCATGTAAAGTAACTTAGTTTTGCTATGGGAAGTGAAGCTGTCCAAAGTGGGAACTATCTAAGTCTCCATTAATTTTACTTTTAAGTGCTCCGCAAATTGCAGTTCTCACTAGAATGAAGTGCTGACCTATAAATGGTTGAAACTAGAATCATAATAGGAGGGTGTTGTGGTCTGCAAAACAAGTGGCGTAGTAACCGACAACGCTACCGCGCTATGGCTCTCTTGTCTTCTATTTTCACAGTGTATATCGAGGACGCCTTGGAATCTGGTTCACGGAGGAGCTGAAACAAGCACGAGCTGCTGGACGCGTTCGGGGAGTCAGTGGACCGGAGGCCCTGAGAACCTCTTTGCTGCGTATCAAACGTAAGCTCTCATCAGTACCTATTTACAGACAGTCCTGTAATCCTCGTATGTCAACACTCGCCTTTCTAAATTTTGTGTTTAACCTCGTCTATTCGTGACTCTTTTAACCAGTCTCCGAACCCACTGATAGTTGAGCTCCCCGTAGTAGTCGGCCCGTGATTCGTTACTCGAGGAAGTTCTTTCATCTCTTTGAAATCCACGAGTCTGTCAACATCCGGTTTCGACTTTGGTTACTAGAAAGACTAAGAAGATTCCCACAGCAACTGTGTCACGGGTGGATAGACCACAAGCCAGACTCGTTTACATTCATTCAACCCATACAATTTTTGAAGAAGGGTTCCGCAAACCGCTTCACTAGATTTCAATGCGCAGGTGCCTTCGAATGGTTCCACTTCTATCAAATTAGATTAGCGAAGGTAATGTAAATGGTTGGCGACATGCATTTGGATGGGTGCCTAACCTTGTATTGTACCGCGCTTTCTTGCAGATAACATATGTTTAAAGATGATTCACTACTTTATCGCTCGCTTGGTACGCATGATCTCACGTAGGCCGTCACAATTGGTGGCAGTGGTAAGTTGGAACTGCAATCAGAGCATCGAATCCGTTGCCCATTGCCTGCTAGAAGATGCGATCCAATAGGATAATGCAGACAGAAGAGAGTGAAGGAAAGTCGTTTTACACCAACCGACACTTGGAGGTCAAAGATATTCTACTAGTATCTACTTGAAGCCTGGTAACTTTTCTCTTGTCATTGCTCAACTCACTACACTGCGAAGGGACTGGTTGAGCATTAAATGTCCCTTGTTGACCTCCAACAATATTCATCGAAATTCGTAAACAAAATGTTTGTCAAGTCATGTTTTTCTTTACTGTTGAACTTGACGGCCGTCGTTATGAGCATTGAACGGCATTGAAAACAGTTGCAATTATATTGTTGCTTGATTGGTCTCACTCTAGTTTGGATTATTCATCTGGGGATATCCAGAAGCAGAACTCGAAATAAGTGGTAGTCCGAATCGCTGAGCAGATTTAGTACCCTTGTGATAATCGACAGTTTCACTACCGGTTGTCTGGTGTTAACTTTATCTGTCATAAAGCTCAACCTTACTAGTTCGATACACAGCCTCGGCTATGTCAAAATGATCATGGCAACCGAGGAGGAATTCAGTAGAGAAATGCAGAATGTATGTAAAATGTATTTCTCCGCAAGTCTTTCTATATTTCAAACGACTGCAATAGCTGGGGAGATTGGTGACCCACCTCCGTAAATACACTCATGTGTGTCAGAGCGCAGGACCACTGTAATCACTCTACTCACGAAACTCAGTTCTTCCACGATTATGAATCACAGCAGACCATGGACAGAATTTCTGCGCCCATCTTTAGTAACGTGATAAGAGGCGCCAAGTGGCAACAAAACAGACGGTTTTGCCTCGGTTCAATTATAAACATTCGCCTAGACAGTTCTGTTTGGGAATACACAGCAACAGTGAGGATTTACTTTAACATTGATTTGATAGATCCTAAGTGGTGAGTTCCGGTAATTTGTATTGCAGTCACTCACGAAGCATACCATAGCCGTATCTGTACCGATGGCTGTAATTTGGCAAACATGAATCCAGTCAGACAGCGACAGCAAACCACCGTGGTATGCGGCAAGAACGGCGTTGAGCGCTTAGCCTTTTCTCATCTTTCAACGTTTCCAGTCCTACATTTTGGTAAGCCACCACCCAGAATATTTTGTTATCTATGTGCTCGTTGTTACTGCTGCTTGATGCCACTTGAAATGGAGAAAGGCGCCAGCAGTACGCCGGCACACCGTACCGATGCTTCGCTACTATAGATTACCACGGTCTGCGAGATCGTCCGCACCTACTTGGATTCGAGCCAGCGGCCTTTGGGTTGCAAGACAAGTCCGTGGCCATTTCGGCCACTTGCCACTCATTTCCCAAGACGGAGCTTCTTTTTCCTGCTCTTTAGGTAACATTCTGCTTAGGATCTACCAGAAGTGGAAAAGTGATCTCAGTCACACAGTTAACAAACAGCAAGGCAATCTAACAAGCTCCAGGGCAGTGCTAATACACCATGGAACTGGTTGCAAACTCTGTGAACCGAAGAATCTCAAAAGTGACACGTGATCTGCTTGGTGGTAGGATGTTCACACCTTACAAGCACTACTATCAGGGTCATTGGAATAGTGACGGATACTAGACGCAGCCGCTTGCTTCGAGATAAGTGCTATGAAACACGCCCCTTGCGCATCAATTCCTATCTCATTTATCAAACGCATCCGTTTGATCCAACTCATTGAAGCCACCGTGAATTGAGCAAGCAGGTTGTGTGTCCGGTAGAATACTCATGGCGTTGGTCCTCTACAACAGTGGTCCCCAACCTTTTGTTAACCGCGGACCGGTCAAGGTTTGATAATTTTACCGAGGCCCGCTAAGGGGGGAGGCGTCGATTGTTTATTTTTTAAAAGGTTGTGATTTACTAAGTTTACTTTAATTGTATTTAAATATGCCTTAAAAATAAAATTCAGTTACACCAAAAATGAGTATAACTTAATTCAACTTGTTAGCTCATTTGAACACCAAATCAGTGAGTATCCTTGGCTTGTTTCTCTGTAATGAGGCTGTTCCATCTGGGGGTAATAGGAGACAATGACACCCAAAGCGTGTTGCTTATGTCCTGTTTATTTCACTGTTTTGTTTTGGCTGCTGTCACCATAGAAAATCCCGCTTCACACGGATAAGATGTCGGAAAAGCCAAAAGGAGTTTAAGTGCTGTGTTGGCAATCTGAAGGTAATCCGCTATGACTTTAATTCAGAACACCGGCAGAGTTGTTGTCTCGAAAGCAGTTGTAAGGCTGTCGCCATTTGCGATCTCCAGCAGTTGATCCTCATCCTGCACAGAAATGCTACGTTCGCCTGGTTTGTTGACAAACGGGTCGCGGATCCATTCCTTACCAGTTCGTGGGTATTTTTGGTTGGGAATTAGCGCTCAAGCTCTTTTAAAAGCAAGGACAGGTGATTAAGCCACAAGTGGGAACATGAATGCTCAGAGTCGATCTCATCTGAAACCCCCGCTAATGTTTTAAACATGTCCAGATGGTTTGTGCTCACGCCTCATCCTCACAACTCCAGTTTGACTGTAAATGCAGTTACTTTATCTGCCAACTTGAAAACAATTATCATTTTCCCCCTAAAGGGATAAATTGAGTTCACTGAGTAGGCTGAATATGTCACGCAGGTAAGCCAGTTGTGCGACTCATACCTTGTCACTGAAATGTGCTGCCAGCGGGGGCTACTTTCTGAGAGAAATCCTTGAAATGTCTCAGGTAATTTAGCTCCTCTGTTTATTTCTATGTACAAGAGAAGGCATCCGCGCCCTGTGTCCATCTCCTCACCGAGAAGCTCAAACAGGCGCGAATGAAGCGCATGTGGCTTGATGTGCTTAATAACTTCAACGGCATCACTGAAACTGTTGTTAAATTCCGGCGACATTTTTCGGATTGCCAGTATTTCTTTGTGAATTATACAATGCGTAGATTCACTCACAGTTGTAATCTCCTTAATCCCAGCGGCTAAACCAGACCATCGTTTCGTCATGCAGCAGCTCCGCCTGTGCAAATGCCGACACAAAATGACCATTTTATTTGTCCTTGAACAGTTCTGCTCCTGTGATGTCGGCTCACAATGATAGTGCACGTAATCAATCCTCATGCACATCTTCTTGATAAAGATGTCGCACACCAACAATTCTTATTGCCTTATTGTCAGTATCCGCAGATTCGTCAACCAGAAGTGCGTACTCCGCTGATACACTAAGCCTCTCCAACAATCGTGTCTCAATTTCTTCGTCTATTTGCTTAGTTCGCCTTATCACAGTGTTAGCTGACAAAGGCACATGTGTTGTCATTTTACCAGCAGCCTGTCCTTGAACTTTAGGGCAAATGTCTTTAGTGGAGGGAAAGATCAGTTCTATCCAGTAGAGAATGGCGTTTTAGCCTTAGCAATGCAGTTAACCACCAAATATGATAGCCTCATTGCACTCTCACTTAATGACGAGGTGGCCCTCAAAAATTTCTTCGGTCTTTCATGTTCTCGTTTCTTTTTCTTCCAAATTGCTGCAGGGGCCTGTCTTAATCCAGGGTGCTTGGCGCCCAAGTGGGGAAACAGTTTTGGAGTTTTAATTGCCACATTAGGGAACAGATCGCCGCAACCTATGCAGAGCGGTGTTGGTGTGTGGGAAATACTTGTCCCGATAAATCCATATTTCAAGTGGGGCTCATGGTATTGTCTGGTAAAAGTTTTATGTTGCTTTGATGTTGTAGGCTCTTCTTCTGTCTCTTCACTGTGACTTTTCTTCTTCCCAAGAAAACTTTCTAACGACGTCTGTTTCGTACTCAGTTTTGCTAAATTGTGGGTTACCTTTGAGTGCTCAAGTGACCGAGATGTAACCTGGTAAATAAAACATAGTTTAACGCAGAAAATAAATGTGGACGAAAAAGGACAAAGCTACAACACACTATACACGTACACCAAGCACTGTTAAACGTGAGAAAGCACCGGTGAACAAAAAGGGGAGCGATACGCACCTCTCCGCAAAGCTACAAAGCCACTGACGCTTGCAGCTGCTCGGCTCCCGTTTAACCTCACGTCCATGGTAAGTTGCACAATCCCGAAATAACTACACCACAGTAAATGAAATCAAAATAATTTAATGTCTCTTGGACGGCCCGGGGGTCGGGGACCACGGCTCCATGGAACAGAACGCATGCTTTCGACCTTTCAGCGGAATGCAATCCCAACCGCATGTACGTAATGTTGGATAGGTGAACCAAATAGTAACCAAGCGGTGGTGAACGACGAAAGTGTTTGCCTCTTGTGGTGCCGTTTGCGGCTTATCCTGAAGACGGTGGTCAAGAAATCGAATACTGTCCCTTGTGTGACCAGAATGGGTAGACCCGTGTATTAGCTGACATCATAGCAAGAACTAGCAAACTATTCCTCCGTGTGCACTTCTTACTTACTTGCTATCCTAAGATTCTGTCCAACATGCTATATACCCAGTAAATAAAATATGTTTACTTAAG